ACTCAATCCAAACATAGTGTGAGTGAGTGAGTGAGTGATTTCTTCGTTTCGTAGTAACTATAATCGCAGGTTTTTAAAGCGCCAACTAGAATCGTGTTTTATCTAGAGTTCGTTTGGGAAGTATGTTGGTTTTTTTAACTATTTTAGCCTGGGGTTAAAAAGCCTCGTTTGAGAAGGATTTTTTAGTTTTTTTGTGAAAAAAAAAACGTAATGATTATGGGTTAGATGTGATATTTTGTCTTATTAAATAAAAAAATATATTTTATTTGTTTGTGACTATTTTAGCCAAAAAAATCCCAAACCCTCTTTCCCAAACGAGCTCTCGGTAATTTTTTTTTCTTTTTAATTGCATTTTTAAGATATGACTTATTAATTAATTTATTACAAAATTATTATATAACAAAACGACTTCAAACAATAATTTTAATTTAAAAATAAGTTTAAAATAACTCATATCAATAAATCTACTTTAAAATAATAAAAGTTTGATATATATTATTATGTATTATGAGTAAGGTTTTAAAAGCGGTATTAAGTAACGGTTGCGGCCGTTGTGTAATGGTTGCGGTGGCAAACAATATCCATTATACCCATCATACCCGTTTTGTGGTGTGACAAAGATTTAACGGCCATTTCAATGTTAAGTATGCATTTGAATCTCATATTTATTAAGGGCAGTGATTCATTTTCCTAAAAATAGAGCTCTAAAGAGAGCTCTATATGGCAATAGAAAAAATAATAATAATAATACCAAAACATCACATCAGCTAAGCCCACCGCCCCTAGAGCTCCATTAGAACTCTTAATTTAGAGCTCTGAAATTTCATTTTAAAAATTATATTCTCCTTCATAAAGTTTGTAATTTCATTACAAATTATCCTTGAATTGCTGATATCAAAGTTTCAAAATTTTCTAAATGACCATCTTGTCTTTTTTTCTTACCATTTCTTTTTCCTATCATCATTACTACATTATACAACTTCTTATCATTAAATTCTACCTGAATATATTTTTATTAAGTGATGATATACAAACATAAATTTTATATAGAATTTTCAAATATAATGACATGATTAATGATGATCTTTTACCTAAAAACAAAACACTCATAAACATGATTTAAATTCATAATAATATCACTATCACAACATTTTTATAATATTTTTTGTAAATTTTTTTATATATGAATATAATTTTTTATTTTTATTTCCACCATTATATCTAGATTAAATCAATTTAATCTATATATTTTAAAAGTATAAAATTTGTACAAATTTTTTTAAAAAAAATTCATTAAATACAACAAAATAAGATAATATATTGAGTGTTTATATTTTTTGTATTTTTTTGTATCTGGTGAATTTAAAAAAAAAAATCACAAAATATTATACCTGTTAAGTATATCAAAATTAAGTGTATCTAAAAAATAAAAAACTACTTAAAATATTAAAAAAAAATCAGTAAAAATAAAATAAATAAAAAAACAAAAAACAAAATAAAAATAAAACTCAATTTTTTGTGTGAGTTAAACTAAAAAAGATGATTGTTTTTTATCTGAAAATGACATGAACAAAATATTTAAATTATTTTATATGTATAAAAATTAAGGAACAAATATATCATTTAATATGATAGGGGGTAAGTATAATTTTTCAAATGTGAGGAAAAATCTGTATTAAACAAAAATTTCAAGAGGTTTCAGTGTACGTTACACTTCATTTTAAAACATAAAAGAAAATCTCATATTCATTAAAACAGAAAAGAAAATAATGAAAATATAGTTACTTATGCATACTCATTTTTTACAAGTAACAAAACATAAAAATATTATTTTAACAAATATATATTCATTTTCTTCTATTTTTCTAACTCAATCATATAAGATAAAATCAGATCACCTTCCGGGACTATTTTACAAATATAATTGCATTTTCCTAAGCGCACAATCAAAGACTCATCTCCAGATTTACAGAGGGAAATGCAATTCATAACATCAGATCACTTGCTATGAACTTGGAATGCCAGAGAGAGAGAGAGAGAGAGAGAGATCAAAAACATGGAAACCCCCATACAAATTCTATCTCCATTAGACAAATAATTTAATATACAATAGTAACAACAATACATAGCAACTTGAAACTGCTGACAACACAACACAATAGGAAGGACAATTAGCAACCAAGATAAAAGACAAGCACATCTCACCAACCACCACCCAAGAATATCCGTTTGATAGAAATTTTGGCAAATGCATATCCAAAACCAAAACACAAGAAATGAACCTTTCCTCAGCTCTTTGACTTGGAATGCTTGATGAGCCAATCAATAACTGAATCGATGTTTGTTGAGTTTTTGCATGAGATCATATAGCAGCATACCTCTCTATCAGTGATGGATTGGAGTCCCCTGCACAATACACCCATTATTATAATATGGTTGAGTTTTCTACAGAACGAAAGGGTGGTTGTGTGATGAGGGCTTGGACGGGGTTCGGTTAGGAGGAGAGTAGGTGAGAAAGAGAGAGAGATCACGAAAAGAAACAATGGAGTTGGGATTGAGAGTGGGAGTGAACGATTTCGACTCAGAAGATCACCGAAACAGCGATTTACTCTGGCGCCCACGCTCTGCGAGATCGATGAAGCGTTTGAATAGAGTGGATCCGAATGGGGAATTTTCTCGCGAAACAAACACTAATTGGTTTTGCGTGTTGAACTGCTTCAGTTACAGCATTTCTCTCTCTCCCCGGGGGTGGTAAATGGTGATGTTATTACTCCATCTGTTCTGGCGGATTGTGTTTCGATGTGAACCTTAATCCAGTTTGTGTTTCGATTGTCGTTCTTCAGATGTGAACCTTAATCCAGTTTGTGTTTCAATGTGAACCTCACCGAGCGAACCCCACAGTGCACAACCGGAACTGTGGAACCAGGACTGAGATTGATATTGAGAACCAGAACTGTGAATCGCTGAGATTGAGAACCAGAATAGGTGAGCTTGAGAACGAGAATCGGTGGAATCGGTGAGGTTCACGTCGAAACGTCACAAATGGCAATTGGAAAACAAAGGCTCAAACTGATGTAAAGCTGAAACGTGACACAATCCACGTCATGGAAAAAATAAAATGAAAAAAGTGTCAAATTCACGTCACAACCCACGTCAAAGAAAAAGAGTACTATTACCTTTTTTTGAAACGTGAATCTCACACACCCCTTCCCATAAATACATGCGGGTCTACAAACTCAAATTAACACTTTAATGGTAAAATAGTAAACAAACAATCCAAAGGACTAAACGGTTTAAAAGAAAACAATTAGGACCACATGATCTACAAGATGATAAAATAGGATTTACTGGTCAATTCCCCTTTTTTTTATTTATTTTTTTTTGTAATGTATTAGCCCAGAAAAAAAAAAAAATAAAAATTTGCATTTGAGGCAATTTCGAGCCTCAATTTCGACGCCTCAATCACAGCTCTAATTTTTACATGTTGAAAATGTCCTTGGCGTTAACCTGGTAGGTTTCGAAACTATAACCGATATTTGGTGATGTTTATTTCAATTGTACTGGGTTACTTATAATTACTTATTTTATTTAAAATATATGTGTAGGGTTTAGGCCTAGTTTGGGAAGACTAAATAAGTGTATTTTTTGATTTTTTATGAAATATGGGTTGAGTTTGGGTTGGGTTTGAAGTGATGTGTTAGAGAGGTGATGTGACTTAAATAAGATGATGTGACTTAAATAGGATAGTGACTTTTTGACTTTTTGTATTATTTTAATCATGCCAAACTTGACCTTAGTATAAACAAGTTACAAAAATTAATTATCTTTTAAAGTTAGGAAGACGTGCATTTAGGTTTTAATATTGGCCTCGTTTGAGGAGTGATTATTTTAGAAGTTTTTTGATTTTTTAACTATTTTAGTAGATTATTTGAGTTTTTGTGTTTAGAAAGATGAGATGAATTTTTATTTAAGTTGTTCTATTGAAAAATGTGTTGAAATAGTGTTTGAAGTTAAAATGACAAATTTTTTCTTAAGATTACAATTTTTTAAATTGATATAAAAGGACAAAATCGTAATTTACCAGTTGATGTAACAATTTGTCAATTGACAGTGTAGGCTGTGCCTACACTGCCGGCAGCTGCAGCCTATTTTTTATTTTTATTTTTTTTTTGAAAAATTTTGTACAGTGGGACTAAGTAAGGCCCCGTTTGGGGACTTACCTTTTTAGCCAATTAGCCAAAAAGTTATTAAATTAGCCAAAAAGTCAACAACTCATACCAAAAAGTCAAAGATTCTCTTTTCTCTATACTTTTTGCACATCTTTTCGTAATTAGCCAAAAAGTCATCCCAAACATACAAATTTTGTTTACCTACATTTTTAGCCAAATAGTCAAAAAGTTACTAAATTAGCCTGTTCCCAAACGAGGCCTAAGGCTTTTTTGGCTTATTTGTAAATTAAGGCTATAATAGCCTCAACCTTTTTTTTTCCAAACAGCGCCATTATCAATTTTAATTAAAATAAAAAAATTTAGGATAAATTACAAATACACTCTTGAGGTTTGTTTAAAATATAGATTGTCTATTGTGATTTGAAAAATTATAAATACCATTTTATTAGAATTTTTTTATTTAACAGAATTAACTAAAAAAATAAAATTCATATTTACTCCTCTATACAATAATAAAATTACTTAAATTATTAATTAAAACATATTTTTAACATCATTAAAAATTATTAATTGACTTGATGATTTATTAATAAAAGAGACAATTTATTATGAAATTAGAAACTTTAACATAGAATGCAATTTTTAAAACTCTAAAGAATAATTTATATTTTAATCAAAACTCAGAGATTGTATCTGCAATTTATCCAAAAATATAAAAAAAAATGTACCGAAACAGATTACGGGGAGTGTGTATGTAATTTATCCAAAAATGTAAAAAAAAATGTACCCAAACAGATCACAAGAAGAGGATATATTGCAAGAAGACAACTCGAGAGAGCAGCTCTCTGGTTCTCTGTAAATTGATGAATTACGAAACTCAGAAGCAAGCAATCGAACCGAACCCACCATTCCTGCGGAAAATCTGTTCCCAATCTATCTCTCTCTCACACACCCACACACACATTTTTCTCTCAATTAACTCTTATTTTAGTTGCCATGATCATGTATTCTTTGAAGCATACGTCACCATTAGTTTTTTTGTCTGTTAAAGTCTCAATTTTTTTCAATTTTTTGCTGTGCCCAGCTAATTTACCAGTGTTAAAATAAGAAAAAAGTCAACCCTTAATCTTATCCCTGTTAAAACTGTCAATTCAACTGAAAATTTAAACTTCATTCCATTCAAACAGAGGTTGTTGACTTCTATACTCCAATTCCTTATTTAATTATTTGTTTTGGCATTTTCACAATTGAATACACCAATAATCAATAAAGATTATTAGTATTATTATTATTTTGTTTTAATTTAACTATATATATGTTCATTGGTTTAGGTTGTTGAAATTATGTATTTGTGGAGCTTCAGCACTGGGCATCTGCTCTGTGTTCTTCTGGGTATTGCTTTGTTCTTATTATACAGAAACCCATCTTCACCTCCTGCTTCTCAAAGCATGGCTGGTGAGGAAACCCCCAAATCTATTTATGATTTCACCGTCAAGGTATTAATCAGTTTCTTTCTGGAATTCTTCAATTAATCTCTGGCTTTTGATCTTCATGAGTTCATCCTTAGCTATTTGATTTGGGTTTTCACTTTTTTCTCTATTTAGTTCTCATTTTCTTTTCTAATTGTTTTTGTTTCCTACTGCACTATTCTGGATATCTGTGTTGCATATTTTTAATTTTAATTTTTTTTTGAAAAACTTTTATGTTTATTTGATGTTAGATGACTCATGAGTTTAGTAATAAATTTCAGTTTCTCTCTCATATATTATGTGACAAATTATTGGTCGTGATTTTGGTGCTCTTCTCGTGAGTTTTCTGCCTCTGTTTATTTACCCTGCTTTGTTTGGATTATGATAGTAAAGAGACAACGAGAAATAGAGAAGCTTGGATCGCAATTAATTTGGATTGAACTAGTTTATCTCTTTGTTTAATTTCTTCTTCTTCTTCTTCTTCTTCTTCTTCTTCTTCTTCTTCTTCTTCTTCTTCTGCTTTTGTCATCCTCTTTTAGTTCCATAGTTGTTAATGTTTGATTTCACTGGCCTGTTGGCTGCCTTCTTTGGTTTGAAGCTTCCCATTGTTTCTGTCAAATGTTATCATTATATGTGGTTAGTAGTTGCTGATTGAATAGAACTGAAAGTGCAGGACATACGCGGAAATGATGTACCTCTGAGCAATTACAATGGGAAGGTTGTTCTGATTGTGAATGTTGCTTCAAAATGGCAAGTGACTTTATATATCCTAGTTAGTCAAATCTATTATATTTACAAGATTGATTTGCCTCTTCTTTTGATATTTACATGGTCAAATCTATTTTCTTTTGATAATTATTCGTACTTAATTTTATTTATTTATTTTTTGGGTCCTCGCTGTTATCTTTTAGTTCCATAGTTGTTAATGTTTGATTTCACTGGCCTGTTGGCCGCCTTCTTTGGTTTGAAGCTTTCCATTGTTTTTGTCAAAATATCATCATTGTATGTGGTTAGTAGTTGCTGATTGAATAGAACTGAAAGTGCAGGACATACGCGGAAATGATGTACCTCTGAGCAATTACAATGGGAAGGTTGTTCTGATTGTGAATGTTGCTTCAAAATGGCAAGTGACTTTACATATCCTAGTTAGTCAAATCTATTATATTTACAAGGTTGATTTGCCTCTTCTTTTGATATTTACATGGTCAAATCTATTTTCTTTTGATAATTATTCGTACTTAATTTTATTTATTTATTTTTTGGGTCCTCGCTGTTAGTTGCTTTGTCTGCTTCCTGAGAGCCGATGGTGCACAATTGATCTTTGGGCCATATTCGTCTTCTTTTATTTAGGAATATTCAGAGCTCTTTGGATTTATTCATAATGCTACTTCTTTCTTGAAACCTACTTAGTTGCTTGGCATATGACTTCTTGTTTATTGTTTGTTTGAGTTTACAAAGATAATATAGACTACAAAATACTTTTAATCATATTCAAGTTGTTCAATTCAAACTAACAGAAACTTTTACCACCTTTTTTGGCTCCCTTTTGCAGTGGTTTAACACAATCAAACTACAAAGAATTGAACATTCTATATGAAAAATACAAGGACCAAGGTCTGTTAGTTATTCGACTCCAGTTAGTTGTGTGTTTCCTTTCTATTATTTCAAAGAGTTTGAGGGGTCTTAATCTTAACTTCATTGCCGATATATATTCTTATGACAGGTTTTGAGATTTTAGCATTTCCTAGCAACCAGTTTTGGCAAGAACCAGGAACTAATGAGAAAATTCAGGAAACCGCATGCACAATGTTCAAAGCTGAGTTCCCCGTATTTGAAAAGGTAATTAATCCTTTAAGTGCGGATGCAAACGTTACAGAAAAATAAGCACCATTAAATTGTTTTTAGGAGAAACCTAGCTTGTTCCTTAGTCTGTACTGTCCAACTTTATAACCTAAAAATCATTAAGGTATTATCACATGTGCTCATAGAGCAGAAAATTGTCTTCTTGTCTTGTCCAACATGTCATGACACTGTCAAATTCTTGTACCAACACGTCCCCACAGACATGCTATGAATTTCATCTTCTGATGTAAATAAATTGGAACCTGTGCAAGTTCTTTTGAAAGAGGATGAGGCTTGAAAATGTATTTTTATTTATTTTTTATTTTTAAATAAATAAAATTTAAACTAGGTTTTAACTTGTCTTGTGTTTGCAACATTGTGGCATTGTTGCTATATTCTGATCTTCTGGGAGATAGTTAAATGGGGCATGTATAGCAACTAAGGAAGTAGAAAGTTACACTAGTAAAGAAAACAAATTAAACAGATTCATTCATTTTAGACAACGAAATAATCTCTGGTGAAGAGGTGTCCAATTGTGGTTTTTTCCACGTTAAATCACTGTGTCTCTTTGTCTTGATTGTTTGATTGTTTGATTGGGATTGTTATATTCTGCTTAAAATTGATACATAATCACAAATCAACATCTAGGGGATTTCTAGGTTTTTCACATTCATTTTAGACAACGAAATAATCTCTGGTGAAGAAACTGTTAATCTGATTGTGCTGAGCATGTGAGTTCTCAATTACCATATTTCTTAATCTACTTTTGACTTGGTAGCAAGAAGCAACCCTTTTGGCTTACTGGTGAATAAACTCAGCGTCAGGCAACAATGATTTCTGTGTTTGCTAAAGATGTAGAAGAATAATGAATGGGTTCATCACTAGGAAAGATCACAACAAATGTTTCTTCTGCCTTGCTGTGTGTTTGGTAGTTATGGGTAGTAAAGATATAGGGGGATTGGTTCTTAACAGATTTTGCTAGAGAGATTTAAAGGAGCCATGTTTAGTGAGTACCACACTTCCCTAGTGGAGTATATTGAGGATAAAGGAATGTGAAGTGGTCGGTCCTGGGCCTTCCGAAAATCATGACAGACACTTTGATGGCACAAGACCATCAGAGGTGGAGAGGGAGAGATCTGAGGCAGCCTTAGGGTGGAGAGAGAGAGGGAGTGGCAGTGAGGGAGGAGAGTCTTTGTAAGGGCAAGTGACTGTGGTGGTAATGAGTCGAGCAGATGGTCGTAGAGTGATGGCTGCTCACAGGTAATCCATGGTACTTAGGTGAGGGAATGCTCACGAGCCAATGTGAATTACTTGACCTGCTGAGGCGGGCATTATGCTTTTGAGGTCGTGGGATCCACTCCTTAGTGGTCGTATGACCAGTCAAAGGTATTCAAATACCTATACTAGTCATGGAGGGGAATTTGAAATTCACCATTCTAAGATTTTGTTTCCTTCCTCTTTTTCACAATCTATGAATTAAACAAAGCACTTTTCTCGTAACAAATCTGTTGGATCTTATAGATCGATGTGAATGGAAAGAATGCAGCACCACTCTACAAGTTCCTAAAATCAGAGAAAGGGGGTATATTAGGAGACGGCATCAAATGGAACTACACAAAGTTTTTGGTGAGCAAGGAAGGGAAAGTTGTGGAGAGATATGCTCCAACATTACCTCCTCTTAAAATTGAGGTTTGATCAATCGTTTATATATTCATTTACTGACAATGTTTGATGCTTGCCTGGGAAGTTGCATTAGTTAATTGCAGCTGATTGTTCTTGTCTAATTTTTCTGATGCAGAAGGACATACAGAATCTGTTGGGATCTTCATGAGCATCAAGGTTTGATGCTGCACTCCACCTTCACAGAATATTTATTGTTTTATTGAAAACAGTTTATCTGAAAATGGATGGCAATCACATTTTGAAATATCTAGAGTGGAAAAAATTTCCACACAATTAATTTTGAAATAGCACTTAAAGTTGATTGAATCTTTTTTTTCCTTGTTTTCTTTTTTCACCCCTTAGCCTTGCAGGTTATTAATTATGGGTCCAGGAGATTCATAAATTACAGAGGTTTGAAGTTTGCTGCTTTACTTTCCCTTTTACAATAAGGCCACGTTGTTTTGGCAAATTAGATTGGGTGTGATTATGAGTACGGTAAGATTGAATAATGTGAATAGTAGGGTGGTGGTATTAGTCTATGTTCGCAATGTATGTTTTTGGGCTATAAATATTTGTCTATCTTTGTAATGTGTGTTTTTGGGCTATAATTGCAAAAATAAGCAACTCTCAAAACTAGTACTCTCTCTCTCTCTCTCTCTCTCTCTCTCTCTCTCTCTCTCATATTTGTTTGATTGTTAGGATTGAGGTGCATAATAAACACTTTTGATCCTAAAGGTGTTTTTTCGCATGCCCATGGGCTATTATGAGGTGGTGTAATAAAATAAATGTAATTGTTACATATAATGATAATGAAACTCATCATTTTATTTTAATATTTGAGAAAATAATATGAAAAATGACAAATTACAAAATGACAATATATATGTTTAGTCCCTCAAATTCAATATATATGTTTTAGTCCCTCAAATTCAACCTGTCAATTTTACAAAGATCAAACTTATCACATATTTAAAATCTGTTTACTTTTTCTCTTCTCTCACATCACCCTGTCTCTTTCTGTCTCTAGAATTTTCATCGATCTGTTAATATTAATAAATCTTGAAATACAAAATTAATTATTGATGAAATAATGAGTTAAATATTTTATATTTTTAATTGACGGATCCCACCCAGGGATAATCGTTTTATTAGGCCGTAGCAGTTGGCAATGGCTCCACTTCCCAAACGTTCCAAGAGTATGTGTTGCTATTTATTTGAGCTATCAAAAATAAAGTAAGGCTTCGTTTGGAAAGCCAAAGATTGGACTTTTTTGATTAAAATAGTCACAAAAAAAAAATAGATTTTTTAGTTACAAAAAATAAAATATCACATTTAATTCATATTCATTACATTCTTTCTCTCATAAAAAAGACAAAAAAGTCAAAAATTCTTTCCAAACGAAGTTTTTTGCTCAGGTTAAAATAGTAAAAAAAAGTAAAAAAGTCAAAAAGCCAACCCACTTTCCAAACGAACCCTAAGTCAAAATTTACATGGACAAAAATTTAATAAGAATAAATCGAACTTCTTGAGTTTTTTTTTATAATTTTTTTAAAACTTTTATTAGATCAAAAAAGCAAAAAATACACCTGCTAGAATCTTCTACTAAAAAAAAATAATTAAAATAATTTATTTTATTTTATTTTATTTTAAATGTACATGGTGGAATGAAGAGCATGGACGCTTGAAATTTTCTTTGAGAGGAACAATCTTCTCTCATTTTTCCCCCCCTTCAAAAATTATTGAGACATCTGTCAAAAATCCTTCTATAAAGATTGTAGAAAAAATGGAAATAGAACATAGATTTCATTAAAAAGTGCATAATTTGTGGAAAACACAAGAATGATTAAATAAATTAGAGATATTATGGGTTAAATCTATAAGATCAAAGTCCTGCTATGCTATCATGGAAATTGGGAACATGATAGACTCATTTACGTTATGTTTGGTTGGGGAATTTGATGATGGATTTAGAAAGGGAAAGGGAAAAATTAATGCTGTGTTTGGTTGGGGTTTTTGGGGTGGGATTTGGAAAAAGGAATGAGAAATGTAATCCTATTTATGTTTGGTTATAATAAAAAATATATGGGAAAAGAAAGGGGGTGAGAAATAAATAAAGAAATAGGAGACCTTTTAGGACATCAATTCTATTTTATAACCAACACAACCAAACATAGTTGGGATTTGGAATTCTATTAATTCTTTCTCATTTTCCTTTCATTTCCATTTCCCTTTCCATTTCTCTTCCCAAATCCCCCAACCAAACACAGTGTAAGTGACATATGAATAAAATACACTTACATTTTACCTAGTTTCACACACCTTTTTCCTTTTTCTTTCTCCATCACTGGCACCCCCTTCCTCTTTCTCCATCACTGACAGACAAGACTGGCATGTCCATCTCCAGGTAAAGAACAGAAGGAACTCTCGTTGTTACTCTAATCAAGCAGATGAGGCAGCGGAGCACAAGCCACAAAGAAAGCTAGCTCTCCATGAAAGTCCAGGCTGGTATGAAATCCACGAGGAGAAGAAAATGCCAATGCATTTCTACTTCCCAACCGATGATTTTCTTCTAGCTAGCTGCAATAATCTGACAGTGCATGCCACAGCTTCCAGCTAGCTGCATAATCTGACGAAATTAAAGTTTTTTCGCATGCCCATGGGCTATTATGAGGTGGTGTAATAAAATAAATGTAATTGTTACATATAATGATAATGAAACTCATCATTTTATTTTAATATTTGAGAAAATAATATGAAAAATGACAAATTACAAAATGAAGATATATATGTTTAGTCCCTCAAATTCAACTTGTCAATTTTACAAGGACCAAACTTATCACACATTTAAAATCTGTTTACTTTTCTTTTCTCTCACATCACACTGTCTCTTTCTGTCTGTTAATGTACACTAAACCTAACCCACTAACCTAACCCACTACACCCACTCAACTCCACTAAACCTAACCCACTCTACCTACCACCTCCACTTCACTCCCTACGAGCACCACCACAATCTGCTACCTTCTCTTCTATATATAGGAGTTGTAATCAATATATACATCAATCTTGTGTCAATACATCAATCAATATATATACAAAATCAATCAATAATAATACATCAGTTATTTTACACTGTCTCTAAAATTATCATCAATCTGTTTATATTAATAAATCTAGAAATGCAAAATTAATTATTGATGAAATAATGAGTTAAATATTTTCTATTTTTAACTGACGGATCCCACCCAGGGATAATGTTTTTATTAGGCCATAGCAGTTGGCAATGGCTTCTGTTCCCAAACGTTCCAAGAGTATGTGTTATTTATTTGAGCTATCAAAAATAAAGTCAGTCAAAATTCACATGGACAAAAAATTAATAATAATAAATCAAATTTTTGAGTTATTTTTAATTTTTTTAAAACTTTTATTGGATCAAAAAAGCAAAAAATACACCTGCTAGAATCTTCTAAAAAACAAATAATTAAAAAAAGACTTTTTTGTTTTTTATTTTATTTTAAATGTATATGCTGGAATGAAGAGCATGGATGCTTGAAATTTTCTTTGAGAGGAACAATCTTCTCTCATTTTTTTTTTCCCTTCAAAAATTATTGAGACATCTGTCAAAAATCCTTCTATAAAGATTGTAGAAAAAATGGAAATAGAACATATATTTCATTAAAAAGTGCATAATTTGTGGAAAACACAAGAATGGTTAAATAAATTAGAGATATTATGGATTAAATCTATAAGATCAAAGTCCTGCTATGCTATCATGGAGATTGGGAACATGATAGAGTCATTTAGGGAAATAATGCATTGTTTTTGTTCTTCATTGATTAAAGTAGCTGATAAAACTTCAATGGAAACTCAAGATGAAGAAGAAAGAATTTTATTCATATCATTCATAAATTTATTCTCAATAGTCGATCGATACAATTAATCATACATTATACGAGCCTCAAATGAATCATTACTAATTTTATTTTGATAATCAGAGCCTCAGGTGAATTATCTCAGACTCTTATCGGTTTCTTTTGGTTAATCTCAGACCTAAAATGATCACCCTCCTCTTCCTCTTTCTCCATCACTGACAGACAAGACTGGCATGTCCATCTCCAGGTAAAGAGCAGAAGGAACTCTTGTTGTTACTCTAAGCAAGCAGATGAGGCCAACGGAGCACAAGCCACAAAGAAAGCTAGCTCTCCATGAAAGTCCAGGCTGGTATAAAGTCCACGAGCAGAAGAAAATGCCAATGCATTTCTACTTCCCAACCGATGATTTTCTTCTAGCTAGCTGCACAATCTGACAGTGCATGCCACAGCTTGTGCCCAATATTTGAGCCTGGCTTTGACGTCTTCGGGATGGTCACCTGAGGAAATACAAGTCAGGGCAACAGAAAGTGAGAGAACGTACAAGAAGTTTCTCAATCAATGGCTGTAACCAACAAACATTATCCACGAATTTGCGAAAGACCAGAAAAGAAAAGAAAAAAGTTCTTCATAAAACCCAACAAGGCCACATACCAGAGAAAAGAAAATTAGGGTTTGTCATATTTGGTGTTAAGTAATAAATTACAGGAAAATCTCACAAGTGGGTCTAGGATGAATAATATAAAGTCCCATAGATTTCAAATAAAGGGAATTGAGGCTTTACTTCAAAAAATTATTAGAGGGTTGGGTATTATTAGATAAATGAGATTTTAAAGAGGAAGATAGAATAGAGTAAAAAGAAACATATAGTTTATTATGATCCAAATATTTCGAAAAACTATTATTAGGTCTTTATTTCAAATCCATCACAATAAAACTATCACACTCAAAAATTTAAAGTCCATATCTAAATTTATCTTGAAATCCATATTTAAACTAAACTCAAATACATACACTTCAAAATTATAGGTAAAACTGAAGGTAATGAATGTTACATCATAATCAGTGGGAAACTATGTTCAAGAAATTGAAAAAAATATCAATCATCACTCAAGCTATATTACCGTGCAAATTGCTGAAACTAAAGATGAAACAAAGCAAGGGAGTTTCAAACATCAAAATTAAAACTTTAAAAGCACAAAATTTGATCCCAATTCCACACCACCTTGTTCAAAGCAGATCTCTACTAGGAACAATTATATAAATATATACACACAAAAACCAAAGAATCCGGTTCTACATTCTCTTCAACAATGACAAAAATCGAAACAAAAATTAACAAATCATCATTCCATCTAAACAACATATCACATTTCAAACCCTAAAGAACCCATTTCACAATTTCATAAAAACCAAAACTACCAACATTATCCTCACTTGATCAACAGATCAATTCAAGCATATATACCAAAATGGAATCAAATTCAAGATCAGGATTTACTAATTATCAACACAAAGAGATTTAACCAAAATCACTGACCAGGACTAGAGATCTTCCAGTTGGCAATCGGACCGGAGGCCGGCGAACACGTCTCGGCGGCAGCGGAGGCGGAGGACGGAGACTCCGGCGACTTCTGCTGGTCATCGAGAAACCTCTGGCTCATGGAATAGCAAAGCTCGAGAGCAGGCAAAGTGTTACAGAGTTCAGGGATTTCATCGTAGCTGAACCCAAACCCTAGATCCAAACAGCCCTTGAGCTCCTCCAAATCCTCATCAGTCAAGCTCTTCGTCCTCGTAAGATCATCCTCATCTGCTGCCTCTACGTACCCTTCAAGAAACACCTGGTTCTTCTCCTTCTTCTTGGCCTTGTTCTTGAGCCAAGGGTCCTTCTCATCGTCACTTCTTAACAACAACCCAGCTGGTGGATTGTTGTTGTTATTCTCCATTGTTAACTCTGCAAATTCAAGAATGTCATTCATAGATCTGGGTTCTGGTGAATATCTCCTCTGTTTCTCGCTCTCTCTCTAGAGTGATTGTGTAAGAGGTGGAGCGTCCGCGTTTTAAAGGGAACCCAGGTAAGATAGCCTTGTGCTTTATGTTATGGGTTGTTTTTATGTATGTATGTATGTATGTATGTTGCTCACGATGGTATGTTTATTTATGTACAAAATTCACACATACATACATACATCGGGTAGCTTACAATCAACAAGTCTACGAATCCACACAACCGACCTGCTGACCAAATAACATAAAGAAAAGAAAACGTAATCATTTGGGTCCCCACCCTTTTTTTTTTCACTGTAATTTTTATGTAGAAAGGTTTCGTTTTGAAGTTAATTGATTTTTTAGTTTTTTTGATTTTTTAATTATTTAAATTTGAATTAAAAAGTTTTGTTTAGATGGAATTTTTTAGATTTTTGGATTTTATGATTATAATTTAAATATTATATTATATTTTATTAATATTTTAGCTTATTTTATTTTTGTGTGTGATTATTTTAATTTTTTAACTCCAAAAACTTTTATGGCAAGCCAGGACTAAAGTTTCCACTGTTTGATATATTATGTATGATTTGGATGCGCAATACGATTTGAGAATAAAATTATAAAGAGAAATTTTACTATACATAGCCTTTATAGTATGCACTCTTAAATTACGATATTTTTTTCTTTAGTTATGAGTAATTATTATTTTTAAATATGATTTTATTTTAATTATAATTTATAAGATCTTTGATTATATCTAATGTAACTATTTTTTTTTTTAGTTATGATTCAAAAAGTATAAAGTTATACCATTTTCTTTTTTAATCATAAAGTGCATACAATACACACTTCCATCATATTTTTCCCAATTATAAATTAAATTGTAAATGGAGGATTGGTAAAAAATTAAATTGCGTTTTGGATGGTTTGGGCGATTTTATTTTGCTAATTGATTGAAGATTAATCGTAAATAATTATTAATTATTTACATAATATTAACACTAATTTGTACACTGAGAGGGTAATTTGTGAACAAATTGGGTTGAGTTAGGACGAGTCTTCTTTGGAAGTTGGATCGCGCAATGGGTCAAGGAGATATTTTGTATTTTGGCTTTAGGCTGAGGTAGGTACCAAGACGATTGGATGTGTTGTTAGAATTGGGACCTATCTACCTTCTGACCGAGATGATAGCAGGGCGATGGGCCGAGCTGGGTGTAGCTCGGTAGGATGCCAATCGGTGGAAGGGTCATCATGGCTCGCCCATGTTGAGTACGGAGCCGAAGTAACTTGGTTGACCGCATTGTCAGCCGAGGTAAAGGGTTCAACCATCTCACTTGGCTTGCAGTGATGATGGTGTTTTAAGGATAAGCATTATCCTTGGGCTTGAGACTCCTAAGAGGACTCTATTAAGGAGAGTAGAGTCCTACTAGGATTGTGCAAACCATCTCACTTGGTTGGTAGTAAGTAGAGTGTTATTAGAATAGACACTCGTCACTGGAAGTGTGATTCCTAGGAGGACTCTTATAAGGAGAGTTGGAATCCTACTAGGATTGTGCTAGGCAGAATCTATAAAAGCTCAAGGCAGGACCTATGTACAGGTATCACAATTTTCTACTCTAAAATACACAGAGCTTATTGTCTATTGTCTAGTTGTTGACTTAGGCATCGGAGGGGTTTCCGGTACACACCCGCCGACTAGCTCACATTTGTGTTTTCAGGTAGTAAAATGGCGACGCTTGAAGGAGTGCAAACTTGATTAACAGGATTATACAAGAAGATTATTTCGTGCTCGTACAATTGGCGCCGTCTGTGGGAAAACAATCACAAAGAACAAACCTCTTGATAAAGTTTTCTTTCAACTCATTTCAATGGCGCACAATGAAGATTTGCCGCAATCTGCCATTGATAGGCAAACCTCGGAGAGGGGTGGGAGACCTGAAGGCTTACTTTCTATCCCATCCATGGCAGAGTTAGATTCCCAGTGACGGAACCCCCGGAGGGATACACGGGAAAGATGGGGCTCTAGTTCTCACCGCTCCCAAAGTCCTGAAAGGCAGAGGCCGAGGTTGGATCCTCAGGTTCTAGAGGATCGCGTGAGGGAGCAAGACGAATTGATTCGGAGGATGGCGGCAGACATGAAGACAATGAAGCGCCAATAAAGGAAAAATTGGCGGCAGAAGAAGAGGTGGGCAAGAGCAGGGCGCACTCTCGCCACTCAGAAGATCTTGACAGGCAAGTCACACCATCTCAGACGGAAAGTAGAAGCCTAAGGATAGGTGGTACACAATCACGAACCTCTAGGACTCGTTACTCAAGGTCTGAGAGAACGAGGACTGAGAGGTCGTATACTAAGGGAAACAGTTATCGGCCCTCGCACACGCACCAAATGACATCTAGGCACACGGAGTTTTCTAGGTCGACAAACCTGCGTACAGTGCTAGAGGAGAGGGCCCGATGGAAGGAGGATACCCAGGCTCGCGACCCTCGTAGAGTTTCAACTCTATAACGATTGGCTTCTAGGACACATGGGAGTGTCGAGGTGGGGATGTCAATTCCACGCCTTGATTACAAACCAGCAGATAAAGTGTTAGCAATGTTGCAGAGCTCACTGTTCGCTCCAGCAATTGAGAATGCACCGTTACCCTCAGGCTTCCACCAGCCTAAATTTACTACTTATGAGGGGAAATTAGACCTCTACATGCACTTGAGCCACTTGAGCCAGGTTATGACCGTGTATCGGCGAAACGTGACTCTAATGTGTATCCTGTTTCCTTCTAGCCTTGGTGACCTAGATTTAACATGGTTTGAAAGGTTGCCAGAAGGTAGCATAGCTTCTTGGGTGCAACTAACAGAGGCATTTGTGACCAGATTCAGAACGAACACCAAGACGCCAGTGGAGATTGACCAACTTCTCTCCATAGACATGGACGAGAAGGAAATATTGAGGTCTTACAATAACTGGTATTGAGAGACTTTTAATTAGATTGGAGATTGCCCCACAAACTTAGTTATCGCACAGTACAAACGAGATTTGCCGGCTGGCAATAAATTGAGGGATTCAATGACAATGACGCTGCCTCTTACTATGGAAGCCCTAATGGAGAGAGTGCACCAACACATCTTGGTAGAGGAAGATGTGATACGCACCAAGGTAGAGTCCGACAAAATAGCAAGATCGGACGAAACACCTTCGGCAAAAGTTAACGCGGTCGACAAGAAGGATCAACCACGCAAAAAATCTTTGCCTAACTGGGGGCAAAGTGGGTTGGTAGGTTTGACCAACTCTTTCTAAAAAATCTTTTCCCAACTGGGGGCAAAGTGGGTTGGCAGGTTTGACCAACTCTTTCTTACAAATCTTTGCCTGACTGGGGGGCAATAAAGAAGGTTGGCAGGTTTGACCAACACTTTTTTCTTCCTCTAACCGAGATAAAGATCTAGGCTTAGGAAGGTTGGCAGATTTGACCAACACTTTTTATCCTCAAGCCGAGATAAGGATCTAGGTTCAGGAAGGTTGGCAGGTTTGACCAACACATTTTTTCATTCTTCAGCTGAGATAAGGATCTAGGCTCAAGAAGGTTGGCAGGTTTGACCAACGCTTTTTTCTTCTTGAAGTCGAGATAAGGATCTAAGCTCTGGAAGGTTGGCAGATGTAACAACCCTCACCTTACTCTTGTCATATTTGCATACATTCCTGCATGATCTTGCCTTGTTATGCTAATTGGAAGGATTTGCTTGCCTTGTTTCGTTTGTATTGCTTGCGTGGTTTTGTTCCTTGTTCGGTGTGTGTGTGTGGCCGAGGTCATCTTGAGCTTAGCTCGCCTTTGAACCCTTGTACTTAGAACTGTTTTAAGACCTTGGTCGACCCCCATCTTCACATCGGGCTTGTTGCCGAGATGTCTTGCACTTGGTGATTCTTGTTTTTGGACAGGTATGGCCTAGGCCGAGATGTGGCACACCCCGGCCAAGGTGTGGCACAGCTTAGTCAAGTGTCGACCTCCCTAGCCGATGTCTTTGTTACCCTGTTGCCGGACCCTTGATTTGAGCCGATGTCATTTATTGTCGATGTGTCTTACCCGAGCTTGCTGCATACGCTTTGTCAGAGACTTGCCTTATCTATCAATCACCTTTTTGAGTTGAACCAACCCGGCGGCGCCACGTGTCCGAGCTAGTTGTTAAGACAGCCGGCAGACTTAGAAACAAATCATTTTTGGTCTCAAATCTTTGTTTTAGAGAGAGAAGCTCTAGAGAGAAGGAGGAGAAGTTCTTGAGTGAGAGCTAGCCTTCCAAGCTTGATCTTCGTGGTTTGATCCGTTGGATTCGAGTTCTGAGGTTAGAATCTTGATCTACTTTGACTGTTGTTATTGATCATCAAGCTGCATTGCATGATCGGATTTGTTTTGCATGTCATGCATCGATTTGAAGTTGGTTTTGAAAAGAGAAAATGGTTTTCATGTGTTCTTGAAGAAAAGTCTCGTTTTGATCCAAAAGTTTGGAACGAAAGCCATGTTTTTGTGTTTGTTCTTGCATGAGTTTCTTGTGTGGGTACCCAGGTCCATGTTTTGAACTCTTGGCATGAAATCTCAGATTTTGTAACAAGTTATGATCCTTGCATTCGTCTTCTTCATAATCATGTTCTTCATGTTCTTCAAAGAGAAACCCAGGTTTTTCCCGATTTTGTTTGATGAGGCCTTCAGAACCACACCTCGGCAAGGAGGTGTGGGACCTCGGCAAAGGCCTGGTTGGTACCCAGTGTGTTTACATGAGACGGGAGCAGTGCTCAAACTCCCAACATGTTTTGCTTTGTTATTGACTTGGATTATGTAGGTGATGAGCAAGAAGGCGATGACGCCTAGATGTGATTCTGGAGCTTGTTTTGATGTGATTGCCATGTGATTGTAGGACCTTGATCCTTGCTTTGAGCCTACACTGAAGAACTAGGTGAGTGGTATTTCTAATAAAGCTATGTTATACTGTTTTGATAAAATCTTGCTTTGTTTTGTTTTGACGAAAGTATTTGCTAAGCATGAATGAATAGCCCTGTTTTGATGTATCAAGTATAAGCCTTGT